GCTTCTCCCTCCACTTCAACCTCTCCATCCTTCTCAGGACCCTTTGGGGGAACCAAACCCAGCCCTCTTAGGGGAGAAGTGGTGCTCACAATAGAGACCTGGAGCCATTTATGAGACTTACATAACTCATCCAAAAGTCATTGGTCAGTGTTTTGAATCTTAAGTTTTTTGTGTGGTTGCCCCTCGCGTTTCTAAATATCACTTCATATGTATGAATCTAGCTAATAATCTCTGACTAACAAGTTATAAATGAAGTTTTGCACAGTCCTAAGTGTTATAACTGTGTAGTGTGAATGGACTGAACATCCGAGAGACATTTTGCTGCATGAGGCAGCAAATGATTCCTCCATTCACTATCCAAGAACTTTATTGTTTTGTTTTCTTTTGTTTTTACCATACTTTGCTTTTGAAATAGGGCCCACTGTGCCTTACAAGATTAAAACAAAATATAATTAAATTTTATTTGATTATATAGTTTAGAGGTTTATTGCAAAATAATTAAAAACCAATTAAAGTAGCTATTGTGGGAAAATACCATAATTTTTTTAGAAAAAGAAAACAAGTTAAAATTGTATTGCACCAAAGGCATTCAAATTATTTTGGCACCCGAGGCAGAAAACCATCTTGGCCTCTCCGTTTCTCCAGCAATAAAAAGAACACAACTTATCCCTCCTCTTTTTTTCCCAATAATTATAATCAGCAACTGTTGCCTTTTCATGAGATCCAAAATAGCTGCTCCAGGAGCTACTCTGTCTAATTTTAAGGCCACCCTACTATTACATTGAGTTTTTCGACACATTTTGTTTCCAAACTCAATGCTGGACAGCTTTTTGAGATAAAGGGGAAATGCTATACACCTAGCAGACTACAGCCTACAGCATTGTGCACTAATGGAGACCCTCAGGCAATGCCATTTGGCTTGACAAGAGAGGTGAAGCAAATACAAAGAGTACTCATACTTTCATATGTCAAGCACCAGAGTTATGAAGGATATAACATATAATCATATAATATAAAGGCACAGTTACACAACCTTGGCAGTTGCTTTTTCTTGTTCACTTGTAATGAAATTAACCTTCATGTACTAGGATGGGTCATTCGATTCCCTTACAATTACATTTTACTGGAAGATTCAAGCCAAGCTACATGAACAATCGAGACATTCTATGATATTGTCACCAGCACAACTGTAAACAATAACTGAGATCCTACATCTAGCAGGAGAAGAATAGGGGTCGATGCAAGATAAATTTATAAACTAAAGTTGATCAAGAGCTGGAATTATTTTAACTGGGATTTCCAGATGAACAAATTAAAGATTTAAATTTTAAATTGATGCATTACATGTTGAATATATCTCGTATCTGAATTGCTTGGGACCAGAACTATTTTTATTTTTGGAATATCTGTTATTTGCATTTGTGTATATAATGGAAATTAGACTTAAGTGTAAACTTAAACTTCATTTATGTTTTGTATATATTATGTTCATTCAAATATCATGAAGTTAAGTTTATTCATAATATTTTAAAATAATTTTGTACTCAAAATAAAGTTTGTCTACATTGAAGCATCAGAAAACAAAGGTGTCACTATATCCACCACCCATTCAGACAACTTAGAATTTTTGAGTATTTTGGATATCAGAATTCCAGGTAAAGGAGACTTAATCTGTGTATGGTTTCCGCAGTGAGGCTGCTTTATGCTCAATAATGAAAAGATATAGATTTACCAACAAAAGAAATTTGGATTCTGAAGATGATTCAGAGGGCAGAAATGAATATAATATCTCATGTGATCAACAAAAGAACCCTATCATTGTTTGGGCTTTGTGTCCTTCCAGGCATGTAGCCGGGGGGGGGGGGCGGGGACTTCAGCCCCCCCCCCCCCCCCCCCGAAATTCTCAGGGTGGTCCACGAGAAGGCCTTACTGGTGCATTATTTAAACTATTATGTTTATTCATATCATGATCTGATCACCAGGTTTGCAAAAAGGTTTGCTAGGGTAGACCCTCTTTCACTCAGACTCAGCCCCCCCCCCCGAATCAAACTCAGCCCCCCCCCCCCAATCAAAATCCTGGCTACGGGCCTGTCTCCTTCCTATGCACTCTTTAAAATTCCCATATGGGATGAAGACTCCTGATGTAGAACTTCACCTATGGTAGTCTACATGTAGGAAATTGAAAGAAAGATGTATACTAGACTGTGAAAATGTTGGATTTAAAAGAGAAAAACCAAAATTTGAGAAGGAATTATGTAGTAATGAAAAACATCTTATTAGAAGGATATACAAAGTATTGCTGAAGATGGAACCAGAATTGATAAAAGGCTGCATGATTAATGGGCACAAGATTCCAGCCATACTGTCAAATTAGACAAATAGGTAAAATATGGACAATTAGCCTAAAATAATTTTTATTTTATGACTTCAGAGAAAACTTTCACAAGATGATGACCAGGTATCTGACCCCAGCAAGACTAGCTAAAATGTATAAGAAGAATACATAATACTTGTTAGAAATGTATGGAACAAGAAGGAACTTTCTACCACATGTGGTGGTCTTGTAAAAAAGCAAGGAAATTCTGGGGCAAAGTACAAAAAATAATGCAGGAAAATTTTCAAGCAAATATACAATTAGAACCTGAACTATTTGTATTGGAAATGCCAAACCAAATGTTTAAACTAAAAAGTATTTTATTACAGGAAATTACAGCATGATATAGGCACAATATGGAAAGGTCAGATCTTCCAACAATAGAAGAATGGATACTAAAAGTTTTCAGAATAGCAGAAATTCATAAATTGGCAGTGATGAACAAAACAAAACCACGAATTAACATCACAAAGACTAGAAAACATTTCTAAATTTTGTAAAAAAAAAATTAAAAAGAAGAAAATGTTTTTGTAACTATGAGTCATTTGTAAGATGGATTTTTGTAACTCAGGGACTGCCTATATATGATTGTCCTCAATTCAAAGGATAGGAAGTCAAAACAATGGGATGGGTGATGGGAGGAAATAGCGAAATTTGTAACCAACACTGTACAAATGTTAGGAAACATTGTTCAACACCGTATATGTTGTATGTGTATCTGGTTTTTGTCATCTTTCTTTCTGTTAAATATGCAAATTCAAAATTTAAAACTATTTAATTTTAAAATTCAAATACGTAGAAAGCTAGCATTTGTAGATAATGTGAGAAAATGTTGGTGGTTTCCTGACAAGTGCTCCATGTTTTCTGGTCCCAGTTTCAAGCCATTCATAGGATTTACTATGGTTAGCTGCATCACATTTCATTTGTTTATTTTAGATTTTCTGGTAAGTTTTTTTTTTAACATTCTGTTTCTGGCTTGATGTGTGTTACATTGGTGGTATATATGTTGTGAACAGCCCATTCTCCAGCTGGCTTTGAACTGCATTATAGAGTCTGTGTAGAACCACCCTGAGACTGAAAGAGCTTCTTAAATTCCCGAAAGCATCTGATTCTGTCTGATTCTGGATGTTAAACAAAATCATAGTACTTTGAGAGGATATCATCAGAGAATACTGGTTGCCATAGGGTACATTCAAAAGAAAGAAATGAAAAGCTATTACTGCATAAATCTTGCTAATAAACTCCTATGATAGTGTGATCGTAAGTCAGAGTTGGCTTGAAGTCACACAACAAAATCAACAACAACAATGGAGCTAGAAAACCTGCAAATCCCTATTATCGAAACTAGTTCACCTATGATTTCAATATATTGTTCACAAGCATTCTCAAAACACTAGTGTATTTCTTTTTTCAGGATTAAAATAGGGCATTTCATAATAATGTAGATCAAATTTATTTTCATATTGATTTTTCCTGAGTTTTTCACATGTTCTTCATAAACCAACAGGTGAAAATGAGCTAGATAAGGCATTATCTTTTATTCAGTCAACAAATTTCATTTGTATTCATTGACAATGAGGCAGTAAAAAGCAATATCTATACTAAAATTTATAGGCATGTAGGTAGAGAAAATGGGAAGGACAAAAAACACCCTCCAAATCATCCCAGCAGCTACTGCAACAATAAACAGGTTGAAAAAGCAGACATTCTTGTCAACGGAAACCATTGGGATAATGTCCTGTGCCAAGTCCCTTCACTTCTTATGGAGAGATTTTGCAACAGAGCTGAGATAAAGGTTGGGGAATCTACTTTTTATCTATATAAATAAAATGTAATGTTCGTTTGTGGGATTGACAGAACTCAAAAACCACTGGACAAATTGACACCAAATTTGGACACAAGACACCTAACAACCCAATGTATGTCCTTCACTCAAAAAACTGATTTTGTCATTTGGGAGTTGTAGTTGCTGGGATTTATAGTTCACCTACAATCAAAGAGCATTCTGAACCTCACCAACGATGAACCAAACTTGGCACAAAGTTCTCCCATGACCAACAGAAAATACTGTAAGGGTGTTTTTTGGTTTTGGAGTTGTAGTTCACCTACATCCAGAAATCACTGTGGATTCAAACAATGACGGACGTGGACCAAACTCTACACAAATACTCAATATGCCCAAATGTGAACACTGGTGGAGTTTGGGGAAAATAGAATCTTGACATTTGGGAGTTGTAGTTGCTGGGGTTTGTAGTTCACCTACAATCACAGAGCATTCTGAACCTGATCAATGATAGAATTGGGCCAAACCTCCCACACAGAACCCCCATGACCACCAGAGTGGGCCACAGCAATGTGTGGCAGGGGATGGCTAGTATCTAATAGACAGCATACCCACTGGTATGCTTTGAAAAAAGGAAGTCCAGACCTCATCCTAAATGCACATGTTAGTCCTAACTAAAATATGCCTACAGAAACAATAGAACTTTCATATGTATTGACTCCAAGCTCTGATTCATTCCAGTTCTGCACTTAGTCAAGAATAGTGCATGAATCGTATGCTATAGTTTACTCAGGCTAATGTAAACTACACCTGAAATTATTAAGACGGTAAAAATTAACTCACGCTGTTCTTCCCATTCATGGTCCTCTTTTTCATTGTGTTGGCTACACTGCTGGGCTTGTTTGAGGCTCAGGTACAGCTCATGTGCTCTGCGTTCCTCTTGTTGTCGTATCTGTGCTTCACCTTTTTGCCTCTCTTCCTCCTCTCTTTTCTAAGCAAAACAAAGTTGAGTAGTAGATCACAACTTGGAAGAAACAACCTTTCAAAATAAACATCCTGCATCTTGGGATACAAGTCTCCAAAGTATCTAATAGCTGCTTCCCTGCAAATGTGGTAACTGCATCCCCCTCTACATCATCATCATCATCATCATCATCATCATCATCATCATCATCATCGTCATTTCATAAACAGTGGGAATTGATCACTTATTTTATAAGCAACATCTTGTGTGAAAGCCTGTACAATTTCATGTTCTCTTGAATCATGACCTCACAAAATAACCTGTGATAAAACCTCTTGGTAATGTCAGCTGGGACTGCTTCAATGTCATATGGATGAGAATACTAATAATGAAAGTCTGGAGACTACTGTCCCTTTTAATACCTGAATAAGTTTGATCAAGGACACACTTTGGTGGGGAAATAAATACTGAAAGAGGTGTGCATATGTGTTTGCATAGTTACAGTGTTTCAAAAAGCAAGCAACCAAAATTATAATTTTTTTGAGAATTTCAATCCCAAATGAAGCAACAAATAATTTTAGTACATTTCTTCCTATGTTGAGAAAACTTTCAAAACTGCAGTTTTTGAAATGCTGTTTTGCAAACACAGGCTTCATCTAGACTACCATACCATAAACTCTGTTTTGACTTGATATTAACTTTGAAATACAGTAATTAAAGGCAAAAAAAAGACACACACACACATATACATACATGCACATACACACTGAACTAAATGTAACACAGTTTTACTGTATTGTGCATGTATTTAATTTTTATTTAAAATATTTTGTCTAATTTTTTTGGTCAGTTGTTTGAGGGAAAGTCACATGACAATCTGGAGACCATAGCCTTACAAGATATTTTTCTGTATTTGCCCCACACTATACCATACCATAAACTCTTTATTGACTTGACATTAATATTGAAATGAAGTAATCCAAATAAATAGACAAACTTTACCTAATGTAACACACACATATATATTATTTTTATTTAAAATATTACTTCTTTGATTATTTTTTTTGCAAGTTGCTTGAGGATTCTGATTTCTTACATTTCGGTTAACGGAGAGTCTATTGTATTCTTTTCTCCACAGAGAATGCTATTCCTTGTGATGAAAATGCTGTTTTCTGTACAAAAACAGCCATTTTGTGTAGAATAATCCTTGAATTTCACAAAGATTCTCATTGGGATTTCACAACACTCAAGAAACACATTTTGACTATTTTTTTTAATATTTTAAAATAATTCTAAAAATATTGGACATCAAATTTCAATCTAAACGTAAGTATTTTTATTAGGAATTACAGACTTTGAGGTGGATAAAAATGGGGAAAGTTTTCAATTATTTAATAACTGTTACCACCATTAGAACAATGGATGCTAAAAATAATAGATGTAATGAAAATGAACAAATGAACTCAATTAATGAGCCAAGATGTACAGGAGAAAAATATAACAGATTGGACAGTACTGATGAAATTTATGAAACAAAAAAATGAAATGGAGAGAAGGGATTAATTAATAAGACAATTGTTCTCCAAAGGAGAATGGCACAAAGAGGGAATCGCAGAAATATAATGACCTGGGGAAAAGATAACGAAAACACCCATGGAGAAGACTGGAAGTCTTCAATCCCACTTTTTTTCTTTTTTGTTTTTGTTCGTTTGTGTTTTTTTTCCCTGATTGTTAGGACATCTATCATTTCCCCCATTTTTTAGACATTGTTAAAAATGACAATTTTATTTCTTCAATAAAAATTAAATATTAAAAAAAATATTCTTTTCATTACTATAAAGAAAACAAAATGGCTACATCTAAGAGGCAATGATGTTTCCAAAACTTCCCAGAGAGAACAAATGGGACACAATAGGACTCTTATCTGGGAAGACAGCTAACTTTATTTAGAAAATGGGACATATCATTCACAATGAGGAGAGCACTAGAAGACTGGCTCTCCATGTCCAGATTCAAGACTTTTTCTAATGGATAAATAATAAAAAAAACATTCATCTGAGCCAAACTTTGTAAAACCACTTTTTAAAATTATACTTCCTCCCTCCCTCTATCCTCCATTATAAGTTAGAATTATATAATCATAAGCTTGGAAGAGACAAAAAAAAGGCAATCCCATCCAAACCTCTGCCATGCAGAAATGCAGAATCAAAGCACTCCTGGCAGATGGCCATCCAGCTTTTGTTTAAAAACCTCCAGAGAAGGAGACTCCAACAAACTCCACTTAAATTACCATTATCATTTAATTTTTTTTCTTGATTTTAAAAGTTAATCTAAGGTAATGATAAGATTTATTTTAAGGCACTTTTCTGAAAAAACTATCTGCTACAAGCTGCTTAACTATGATACAAAACTAAATAGTAAGGTCACAGTATCTAGCTATCATAAAAAAAACATTGAACTCCAACAAAGGGATGGCACTACTGCTTAATAATGATTTTATTATTTTTATTTACTCCATTTCTACCCCACCCATATCAGCCCGAAGGTGACTCAGGGTGGCGAACAAGTCGGCACAATTCAATGCCATAAAATACATACATCAATAAAAACAGAGAAAATCATCACAATATATCTAAAAGCATAAAAACAGTGAACAATAAAATAAATTAAAACTATGTCATCATATTTGATCCTCATCCATTCCATCATGGAGCCCCCGGTGGCGCAGTGGGTTAGAACCCTGTGCCGACAGGACTGAAGACCGACAGGTCGCAGGTTCAAATCCAGGGAGAGGCGGATGAGCTCCCTCTACCAGCTCCAGCTCCTCATGCGGGGACATGAGAGAAGCCTCCCACAAGGATGATAAAACATCAAATCATCCGGGCATCCCCAGGGCAACGTCCTTTCAGACAGTCAATTCTCTCACACCAGAAGTGACTTGCAGATTCTCAAGTCTCTCCTGACATGACAAAAAAAATCTGTTCCGTCGTCCTTAGCCATTCCTGAGTCATTTTCCTATTCAAATTTGTCTGATTATGACACGGTGCCACAAGCTTGCCCAAAGTGTAATAAGAAATTCAATGTGAAAATTTGATAAATGTGAATTTAAAGTGATGTGTGGGAATGAATGGAAGAATGGAAGGATGTATGGATGCAGCTAATAATCTTGGAAACACAAGTATAATATTAAGGCCTGCAATGACTAACTACCTACTTGCTGGACTTGCTAATGAGATCTGAAGAGTAAACTGTGATAAGAACTGGGACAGTGATAAAGGAAATGTTTGCAACCTTTCTTATGTTAAGAAGGAAGTAAACACAAGCCTTGTGTTTGTTAACACCAATCAAGAAGATCAACACTGAGATGGATCTAGGATGGAAGACGTCTATAATTAATTTACAAGTTTGGAACTACATCAACAGAATTTTCCTATAAAATACTCAGGCTAATAATGCTCAAATGGTGGCAGACTGGGGAGTCTGTTCCACCCACCATGCTCTGCTCCATGGAAGGAGAGAGATGGTGTATTCAGATAGTGGCAGATCTGCACGGGAGCAGTCTGGTCACTTTGGGGCTTCTTTCTCAAGGGAAGAGGAAGAAGTGCACTTTTGGAGTCTTGGATTTTGTGCAGGGAGTCAGGTTCTGCTGTATGGAAAACAGAGATCTGGTCCTTGGGATTGTTCTTAGGGAAAGAAGTTTTGGCATCTCCGCATTTTGAAGTTTTGGTGTTATGGAAGTTATGGAACTATGCGTTGGCAGGCTGCAGGAAAGCAGGGTCTAGCCTAACAGGTGCTTCTCCAAGGAGGGAGAAAAGGATATGGTAATACTTGAATGCATGTGGATGAATGTGTGTACATGTATGTGAATGTTGAGTGAAAATGTAATTTCCCTTTGTTTGTTTGTCAATCAATGTAATTGTAAATCCAATGTAGTTGCATAGAATCTGTATGTCTGTATGTCCAATGACGTTCTTTGTCTAAATGTTTTTCTGTAATCTGATATATCTTCTCACACTGGAAATTGCAATAAAAAGAACCTATGCTTTAAAATAATTGAAAAGTCACTTCTGACAAAAGAGCCAAGTTTTCAGTTTTTCAGAGAAGGCCCTGTCTCTCATCTCTGCCAAATGTGCTTGTGAAGTAGGTGGGATCAAGAGCAGGGCCTCCTCCGATGATCTCACATCCCTGGTGGGTTCATAAGGAGAGATGCGTTCAGATAGATAATGTTATTTGTATATGTCTTACTTATGAATTATTGGAAGTAATCCATAACTTATAACAGATCTATTTATTTATTAGTCTACTGACCATATCAATAATAAAAGACAAAACCAAAAAAAACACAAATTGACACTATTCACTATGCTAAAACTCCTGTAATAGTTAACTAAAATAAATTAAAGCACAATAAAACTTGATTAAATAATAAGTTTGTTAGAAAGGGATTAAATTACAATATGAAAGCAGGGGGAGTAGAGTGATGAGTGTAAATGAGTCAGTCAGCGAATTTAGATAAGATCATCGCCGTGACAAGGGACCCCATTTTGTGAGATAAAGAGATCTCCTGTAATTTATTACTCTAAGTTCTAATCAGATGTCACTGGATAAGTGAAAAGTCAGGAGTGCACCCTCTTTGCTTATTTTCTCTTGAAAATTTCTGTGAATCTGATATCAACAGGCAAACATGAAGAATTCTTGACAGCAAAGGAAATCCAGAAGTCTTCCCATGAGACTTAAGAAATCACTTTGTTTCCATGAACTGCATTGCCTCTTTGTTTCTAAATAGCTTGTATCAGCTTCATTGGGCCTTAAAAAATGTGAGGATGCCTAGTGGGAGTTTTAGTCCTGTCAAAATCCGAAGGTCTTTGAGAAGAAGTTTCTCCAAAGCTTCTTTATGACCTTTAAGATACCAGTAAGCACTGAGGTTGCGTGACTGCTCAGAGGCAAGAAATGCTTTTGCAGAAAAGATACCATTATAAGGAACTGGCATTTCCTATTAGCAAGAAGAGGGAAATAATAGTTTGTCA